TCCACCCCGGGCCGCCTACGTACCAAAAGGAAGACCAGATAATTATTACAGTCATAATAGAGGTCTGGGTTATGCTTCATCATCCGATGACGATTATGGCCAACAGATCATTAACCAATTAATAGATAGGAACGGACATTCATCCGATACTTCAAATTGGGATTCTAATGTGAGCATTGGAGAAAAGTTCAAAACTCTCATGTCAAACATGGCAACGGTTGACCCTTCTACAACAGAAGAAGACGATCAGTTACCCACTTGGGAAGATCCTTGGATACATTACATGAATATCCAATACGGTGATCGATTTGAGCAAAGAGAACCTCCTACAGAAGATAAAGTGGTCCAAGTTAATATGGGTGACGAAGCTAATCCGAAACCTATATTTATTAGCGGTGATCTCCCACCAGATGAAAAAGAGGAATTAATCGCCCTCGTTAAAGAGTATATCGACGTTTTCGCTTGGAACTACGAAGATATGTCGGGACTCGACCCAGATGTGGCAATGCATAGCCTTAACATTAAACCGGATGCCAAGCCTGTCAAATAACAACAAAGACGGTTTCGTCCGCAGATTATGGAGGCAATAGAAGCTGAAGTTAAGAAACTGATTGATTCGGGTTTTGTCAGAGAAGAACAACATCCTGAATGGTTGGCCAATATTATTCCAGTCCTTAAAAAGAATGGAAAAATCAGGATCTGTATTGACTTCAGAGATCTGAATACGGCTTGCCCCAAAGATGAATTTCCTCTACCGATTACGGACGTCATCATTGACAACACATGCGGGTTTGAAAGAATGTCATTTATGGACGGATTTTCTGGGTATAATCAAGATGCACCCGGATGATGAAAAGCATACGGTATTCAGAACACCCCTGGGTGTGTTTTGTTACACTGTTATGCCATTTGGCTTGAAGAATGCCGGTGCTACATACCAACGAGCAATGACGAATATCTTTCAAGAGCACCTCCGGAAGACCGTCGAATGCTACGTTGATGATCTGGTCGTTAAGAGTCGTGATAAAAACGACCACATTAACGATCTGAAGACAATGTTCGAGCTTATGAGAACTCATCAGCTAAAAATGAACCCGACTAAATCCTTCCTTGGAATGTCGAGCGGTAAATTTCTGGGATTCGTCGTTACCACAAAAGGGATTCATATCGATCCTGATAAAGTGAAGGCGATACATGAATTACAACCACCGAGGAATCTTAAAGAACTCAGGGGGTTGCAAGGTCGATTGGCATATATCCGTCGGTTTATATCAAATCTGTCTGGAAAATGTCAACCATTCTCTAAACTTGCAAAGAAAGGCGTGTCGTTCGTTTGGGATGAAGTATGCCAAAAGGCATTCGAAGATATTAAGAAATATCTAGCGAATCCACCTATTCTCGTTACACCGAAATCAGGCAGACCGTTTTTGATTTATGTCAAAGAGACGAGCCATTCGTTAAGTGCATTACTTGCACAAGACGACGATAACGGTCACGAGCAAGTTGTGTATTATCTGAGTCGTACATTGGTAGGAGCTGAGTCTCGTTATCCGATGATTGAGAAGGAATGCCTCGCCTTGGTATTCACTTTATGTCATTTCCAACATAAATCCCATCCGAGTATTCATGACCCAACCGGCCTCCATGAATTGGCGTTTAGCCAGATGGGCTTTACTCTTGTCGCAATATGACTTGTACTTCAAGCAACAAAAATCAGTTAAAGGACGAGCTATTTGCGATCTTCTGACGGAAAACCCTACGAAGGATGTAGTCGAATTGTACGACGATTTGCCAGATGAAACTCACGAAGTTAACACCACCTCACATCAACAAGTGTGGCAATTGTACTTCGATGGGGCTTCCCGATCAACCTATGTAGCGAGCGCACCCGGATGTTCTAAAATCTCCTCAGGAGTGGGGGTCGTTTTAGTTTCCCCGGGAAAGCATGTCTTACCTAGAGCGTATTCGTTAACCGAACCATGCTCCAATAACGTAGCCGAGTACAATGCACTGATAATTGGACTCAACTTTGCCAAGGAGCTGGGGGTCGAATACCTTGAAGCTTTTGGAGATTCTCAACTGGTAGTTAATCAGATTCGAGGAGAGTATGAAGTCAGAAATCAAGACCTGATTCCATACCACCAGGTGGCCATTGAGGTGGCAAGCTCGTTTGAAGAATTTTTCATCGAGTACGTTCTACGTCTCCAAAACGCGTACGCAGACGCATTGGCGGCATTGTCGGTATCTCTGGCTCAGCCTCCCGAGACAGAACAATTAATCACATGAGGACTCACCAGCTTATTGTTCCAATCTACGATTCAAATGCTAAAGAAGCATATTCAACAGGAGTTGAACCTGAAGTTCGAGATTGGCGTTTCCCTATTATTGATTATGTCTTACACGGTATCTTACCGGAAGACGTAAAAGAAAGGGATTCGATTCGGCGGAGAGCACCGAAATTTTACTACAACGTCACAGCGCAAACGTTGTATCGACGATCATACGATGGTCTTTTACTCCGTTGTCTATCCGGCAAAGAAGCAGAACAAGCACTCAAAGAGGCGCATGAGGGGACGTGCGGTGCACATCAACCCGGTCCGAAACTCTGCGACCGACTTAGGAGAATTGGATATTTTTGGCAATCACCGATTATTTCTCGAAATGGGCAGAAGCAGTTCCACTTAGAGAAGTAAAGACGACCAATGTCATCAAATTTATCAAACACCATATCATATATCGGTACGGTGTGCCAAGGCGAATAGTGCACGACAACGGTCCTCAGTTCGTGAGTAATGCATTTATCAAATTCTGCGGTAAGTTCGGGATTAAGGACGTTTCGTCGACTGCTTATAATCCTACAGCTAACGGATTGGCCGAAGCTTTTAACAAGACTATCATTAAAATTCTGGCAAAATTGGTGAAAACCAATAAACGAGATTGGGACGACAAACTCGACGAAGCTCTCTGGGCTTATCGTACGACCGTCCGCACGCCTACCGGAACCACCCCGTATGCTTTAACATATGGGTGTGAAGCCGTCCTCCCATTGGAAATACAGATTCCTTCCCTCCGTATCGCTCTCGCAACGGGAATGACGACGGAAGAACATCATCAGAAACGTCTCGAGGAATTAGAGATGTTAGATGAGAAACGCTTGGAAGCTCAACAACAGATTGAGTTTTATCAAGCTAGAATTTCCCGGGCTTTTGACAAAAAGGTCCGACAACGAAGTTTTAAAGAAGGAGATTTGGTCCTCGCTGTCCGAAGACCTATGATTCTCACTTCTAAGAAGAAAGGTAAATTTGAACCTAAATGGGAAGGACCGTTCGTGATAGAGACAGTCTATTCAAACGGTGCTTATCGCCTGATTACTCAGGATGTCAACAAATTGATGATGCCAATAAATGGGAAGTTCCTGAAGAAGTATTATCCATAATACGTTCAGGATAACCTATGTAAAACGGGAAGTTCCTAGAGAATCCTGCATAGGATATTTCAGGATAACCCGATATCAGTTGATTATTCTAAATAAAGACTGATCATGTGAATAATCTATTCTTAATTGTTATAAAAATGATTAAGATCTCCTTACTATCTTTGTTGAAATGAGATTCAATAACAGTTAATCTTTCCTCACAAAACCCCTCACCGATCAAATCGATCGACGAAGGGTACACCAAAATCCGTCATGGATTAAAATCATTTAAACTCCCACCTTTCATTTGGTCAAACCTTACTACAGTTAGGACCACAACCAAAATCTCCTTTCGATTCATTTTACGAACGAAAGGTCCACTTTTGAACTGAATAACCAAACCTTATGACAGTTAGGATTATTCAAACCAGTCTAGATTCTCTAAGTGGAGATCCTACTTTGAGTTTCTTTTACACCAGGAGATAGAATATAAAATTCTCCCTCTCCAATTCCGGGTTTATCTCTACCAACAAACAAGAGACCAGGAGATAGAATATAAAATTCTTCCTCTCCGATTTTGGGTTATTTCTACCAAAAAACAAAAGAACAGGAGATAGAATATAAAATTCTTCCTCTCCGATTTTGGGTTTATCTCTACCAACAAACAAGAGACCAGGAGATAGAATATAAAATTCTTTCTCTCCGATTTTGGGTTTATCTCTACCAACAAACAAGAGACCAGGAGATAGAATATAAAATTCTTCCTCTCCGATTTCGGGTTCGTTGTCCTATATAGGAAACGCAACCTACTCACACTTTAAAATCCATGTCGTTCATACATGGGGGATGTTATCTCTATCCCTTATCAGAGATAAGCCTACATCTAACACATGTAGCCTACATATTCAACATTGTAGTTTAAAGTCTAAAAGAGTTTAATTCTTTTAGCACAACGTTATATGTGAAACGGACTTAGATAATTCACATACTAGCCCGACTCAAACGGTAATCGGTAAAGGCATATCAAATCCGTTGACGGCTGAGGATTTGCCAAAAATCCTATAAGTATTATGGTTATTTATTCTAAAACAAGAATGAGTAATCATAATAAAACCTCAATGAGCAAAAGGATTCAATATATTGACCAAAAGTGTTCAAACAAAACTACAAAAAAATATATGTTCTCCAATTACAAAAGTTTATATTGACTAATCTGATTTTCAAGTTTTGAAAGCTCTAATGCATAAGCCTGTTCAAGCTCAGCCGCCAATTTAATTTTGAAGGCTTCTTCATCAACACTGTGAAGCGCGGCGACCTCTTGTTCCTTTTCGGGAAGTATTTTATCTTGAAGGTTCAGCTGCTGTAACAGGTTTTCTTCAACCTGAATTTCTTGCGTCAACTCGGACTCCAAGACCTCATGAGCATCCTTGGCCATTGCAAGTTCCTCCTCTAAGCGAGCTATTTTCGCTCGACTCGATTCTAAGTCCCGGCGTAGGTTGACCTTAGCTTGCGTTCTTCTGCCAACACTCACCCTAAGTTGATCACTGCGGGCTCTTAGCTTTTGAAGTTCGAGATTAGCTGATTTTTAGGAATCACGCCATGCCTGCAACTTGGATTCCATGTGGGAAGCGATATAAGAGGGTATGCCCTTGGTGCGAAGAGCTTGCAGAAGTTCAACATATCGCCTCAAGTCAACCAAATAAGCGTTGATTGAATCGGCTAACTCATTATACCCTTCCTCTCTGAACCCTGATATAAAATGCTCAAGAGATTTGTTATAACTCTCAAAGTACGATCCTTTGAAGAGAATACGATCGACCATAGAGTTCAAAAAAGGAATGAAGCCTTGGAGATTGGAACAGATGACAGCCTTGTCCGGATCGTCGTCGACCAATAACGCTTGGATATGGTCTGATAATGATGAAGAAGGAGTTGTGACGAGGGCAAATAAGTCAGTACAGAACATATATATTCATATAAGACAATAAGCTGAAGCATACCAAGTTCGACAGAAGAGCCTTCAGTATGACTTGGTCCACCCAAGGATGGTAGTCCGGCCTCCTGAGCAGCCAAAGTCGGTTCAGGAATAGCAGCTTTCGACGCACTAGCTACGTCAGAAGATTTTTCAATCTCAACCTCAGAGAACTTTGGGTCTAAGTTGAGAGGCTCCTTGGGAGAATATTCTGCAAACAAAAGAATCATAATAAGTAGGACGGAATATTGATCGTAAATTTGAAACAAGTTATGGGTAAAACTTACCAGCTCTGGACACAACATCGGCTGACGTACCAACTCCTTCAGTTGGTCTCGCTTTTGTTGCGACTGGACTAATTTGGAGAGTGACGGTGACTTCTATCATCATGGGGTCTATAGGAGTAGAAGGTTGAGGTTCAAGAACTGATGATTGCAAATCAACCTCAGTTCCTGCCCATGGCACGAGTTCATTACCCTCCGGTCGATCAGACGTTCCAGTGATTATGATAGTATCAGCTCCAGCAGCTGGTCCTTGTAGGCTGTCTAAAAATCATAATAGATAGCTGATTCTCCATCAAACACTGATAATGGAAGTTACAATCTGACGACTTCCAGAAGGCTACAATTTGAAGACTTTCATGTAGATCGCTGAAGGTTACAATCTGACGACCTTCACGACAACCGATGAGAGCTCTAGTTCAATAGCATTCACAATCAACATCGGGAGTTACAATCTGACGACTCTCATATTCTCAAGGAGCCAAGACGAAGATTATAAGATAATGATCTTTACAACGCTATGACAAAAGAGATTACTTTGTGATAATCTCTTCAAGACAAGACGCGAAGGTCCTCCCCGTGTGTCAACATCAAAACGCCGGAGTCGATCCCGCGTTACAACATCAAAACACGAGGGTCGAACCCACGTTACAACATCAAAACGCCGGGGTCGATCCCGCGTTACAACATCAAAACGCGAGGGTCGAACCCGCGTTACAACATCAAAACGCGAGGGTCGAACCCGCGTTACAATATCAAAACGCCAGGGTCAAACCTGCGTTACAATATCAAAACGCTGGAGTCGGACCCGCGTTACAACAAGCGAAACGTGAGCGACCCTCGCGTTACAACAGAGAGCTTTGATCCTTGGCTTATCAACCGAACTTTCGGTTCAAATCAACTCTTTTTCAAGAGTTTAAACTCATTCAGAGTTATCAACTCATCAAGAGTTTTAAACTTGCCACGCAAGTTCTCCACAATGTCAAATCGTGAGGAGAAGACATCGTTCCAGTGAATCAAGACGTCGGATCGTCAACGGAGAGCAAACTCGACGCGAGCATTCGAGGGAGGCACTCCATCGCCACCAAGAAGAACCCAGTTTTAAACAAAGGGGAGAACCAAATTCGTTCTCTTCTCTTTTGTAATCAAATTGTAATCAGAAACAAAGGAATACAAATCAATTTTCTTTGTTCTTTTCTTGGCAATTTTCCCTGCATACAGTCCTATAATTCAAACACTTATATGATTAATCAAGTTAAAACATATATGTATGTATGTATGGAGTTCACAGAACCAAAGTCTTACTCTCAGAAGGACCTGCTTCTGTTGAATCGACTCTAACGTTGGATTCTGTGGCCGCATCAGGAGTTTTCCCCGATAATAAATAGGAGATATACTGATGGTCGCCTTCAGAGAGATCAAAATCGAGGTGATGCTCATTGAATTCCTCGGCCTCTGTTGCATGCGTGGTCTCTCCTCCAACAGATTCTTTCATTATGGCATCTACAGAACGTGTTGAATCGTAAATAACACGTAAATTTAAACAAATTTGCTCAAGACAAAGATTAATTTTACCTTCGTTGGTCGGGACGGATTCGAGAGCTCCACCACTTGTACCTGCTTCTTTTAGTTTAACTAAAAGGAGACCAAGCGCACAAGTCATTAAAGGAGGCACACGGTCTGACTCATTCATTTCTCGGATTTCTCTTCCGAGGGGAGAAAGATCAGTACCTATATCCACAGCCGATGGATCAATGTCAGGAGTTGGTGAAACATCAGCTGGTCCTTCTTTCAGAGCATCCTGTATTTGTTGGACAAAGCTGGTCTCCTCAGTCTCCATACCTCCGGGAGAAACAACATCAGCTGGCAACTCTCCTTCTTCTCGACTCCCTACAGAAGTTGAGCATGAAATAAATTTAAACGTTAAGAAGTGTGAAAGTAATAAAGACAAATAGTTACCTTGTTCATCAGAAGAAGCACTACGATCAGATGTCTCTTCTAGAGCAGGAAGATGAACGCGTGGCTTAGAGACAGCTTTCTTCTGTCTCTTCAGTGGACGTGCTTCAGAACCTTCATGGCGATATTTAGTGCGTAGTTCAACTCTGGGGGAAGCTTGAGTCTGAGCTTGAGTGGAAGATTGAGATCTTTGCCTATGAGCAAGAGGCACTGTATCCTCTTCATCCTCTTCGTCTCCACTGAGAACGTCTACTGTCATCCGATTAGGATAAGTCATGACGACTCTCTCTTTCCGTTTTTTCGGAGCAGCTTGTGGTTGGGCCGGAGCGACGGAAGATCTTACAAGTCCTCTCTCGAAGAAAGAGTCGGGGAGACCTGCTGCTTCCTCAGAACTTGAATCAGTCTCGTCCGCCCCTTCAGAAGTTTCGGTCGCTTCACTATCAAACTCTTCTTCACTATCCGTTGGGCGGGCTGGTTCCTTTCCTTTTCTCGAGGATTCAGCAGCTTCTTTTCCTCGAGTCGACACCATAGTCTCCTTACGAGTCGCCTTTGTCGCTGGCCGCGGAGCTGCCTCTTCCTCTGAGTCTAATATTCTCCCACGTCGAGTGACGATATTAGCAGCAATCAACCACTTACAAAAGAGGAAGGTCATCCGTAGAGGCGGCACCTCTAAAGGGAGATCGAATTCAACATTTGTGCAGCCGACAATACTCCAAAACCAAGCTCTCGTCCCATCAATAAGTCTACCTCGAAAGCTAAGGTGACGATTCGGGTTGCCGATATAAATTTGGTCATAGCCGAATTGACAGGCAAATCGACATGGAAGATAAGGCTCAATGTGGCAAACGTCCCTTACCCTGAACAACAGATATCCAGGTCGGATATTCATCAGCCATCTGAAACATCCGACATCTAGAACGGTACGGTTCTGCCTCGGGTCTTCAGCATCCAATAAAGTTGTGTTGTAAGTACCGGAGAACCGAGGGAAGCAAGGGAAGAATTCCCAACACTTGTGAATTTTAAACTGTCTTGTGATGTCCGGCCATCGATGTTTGATCCATTTGCAACCCTCAAGGGTCTGTAAAAGAGGAAGACTAGGATCCACTGTCTCAGGAGCTTCCATTAAATCTGGTCGGTGCAGGACTAATCATGTCATCAAATAAGTGTAGGGTAATTCCAGTTTCGGAACAGATATACTAGCAGAGGGTTTCTTTTTCTCTTGTGTGAATGCGGAAACTAACTGCCGTAATCCACTATGAATAGCCGCCACCATAGCAGGAAGCAAGGATAATCTGCGACCTGTGGCTAACTGGACGGCTGGATATAACACTTCCATTGGTATAGCATCGGATGACTAGTGGGGAACTACACATCTCTTCAACCATATGGCCAGAAAGCCAGCCAGCAGAGTAGTGGGGCGAATCGGAACACCAGCTTGCCACAGATAAGGGCGGAATTTAGTTCCATGCGAAAACCCATCTTCTGAATGAGAAGTGTAAGATTATGCGTTTGTTTTCTCCAACAGCCGATTGATGTCACCCGGGCTCAAAGGAGATAATCCACGTACCTCTTCTGATCGATCCTCCAGGTTCTTGAACAGATAATCGGCGAATTGCTTTAAGCTGACCTGGGGAGATTTCTTCCTAGCTTTGGTTTCCATCTCAGCCATAGCTATATGATAATGACAAGTCAGCTCCCATAAAGTCTCGTGGGTCACAGATGACCGATCCTTCATCTTATTAAGCTGACTGGTGGTTGGGAAGAACTCTTGATATAGAACATCGCCTATGGGCAAGCCAGACACCTTCATCATTTCGTGCAACGGTAACCCGAGCTCCCCGTTCTTGGTGAAGAACGTATTAGTGTCAGGATTATAGATCTCGAACAAACGGAGGAAATGACCTACACTAATTTGCAGACCATGCATGCTGGCACGGATCGGGACTTCCAACCCTAGTTCTGCCAACTCTCTCCCCCAACGGTTCAACACATATCGAGTCATTCTGGTCCACCACCATTTATCCCCAGAATAATGGACCCATCCATAACATCTGAAACTCTCGTGGGGTAATTTCTTCTTCATTGCAGCCAAACGATTCTTCACAGTGTTGGCCTGCGCTGTCTTTTCATTCTGAGGTATATTGTCTTGGCCTAAGACACCCGGATGAAGCCCTCGTATAGAAGCTCTTTCACTGGAACCTGGAGTAGCCTCTTTCCCGATGAAACCACAATGAATGCGTTTGTGGTTTTCGGTTAACCTCCAGAACATTTCACGTCCAACCGATAAGTTCCTGAACTTTAACAGTGAATGCTCTCGAGGGATAAAAGGCAAGTACAAGAATGACGAACCATCCTCGTGTAACCACTGCGCAGGCTTGCAGAAAGCAATCGCAGGATCCTTTAAGGAGTCACCAAACAAGAAGTCTGGTTTCCTTATACATTTGTTTGAGTCTTGCTCTGAAATTAAGGTTGCGTCTGTGATTAACCGTCGCAGGATACGGCAACTACCTCGTTGAATTAACTCTCCGGCCCCTTCGCTGTAATCTGACTTAAACTGAGGAGCAGACTCGATTAACGGTAGCCCCTCATAATAAGAATGAGTGACACTACTCTGGCCCGTAACTGCATCGACGGTGAAGATTGTGGCAGGAAAATGGACTGATACAGGAGATACACATAAGCTGTGTAAGTATAGTCCTAAATTTTAGAGAAAACGGTATATCTTACTCCATAAGATATAGTCGCTATCTCATAACAGGTGTGACGATTTTCCATCTACCATATGTATAAAGGAGATATGCGTTACTATGCACGGGCATTATAACGGCATACCAGAACCTTTCAATATATGTGGGATGATATAAAATCGCCCCTGTGTATTATGAAGTGTGTTTTGTCCAAGCAAAACAAACACTTTTAAGCGTCGATCCCCTCAAAGGAGGATACCGGCTCTTCTTGAAGGTATCTCAAAGGATACAAACGAGGATCTGCATACAAACACAGGTATTGACGCGTAAAATTGAAGAAATACAGTGTTTAAAATTGCAAAAGGATGAAAGAGATATACCCCCATGTGAAGCGGCAACAGGAGCAGCCCCCTCGGGAGACTGAACAGTCGGATGGCCTCGAGAACCTCGAGATCTACGCGGCTTTACTTTCTAAAAGATCTATGACAATGAAGCAATAAACCATGAATAATTAGAATTTGAATGATAAAGAGCATGGCGAGCCCATTAATTATCAAAACGAGTTCTTCCTTCATCAAGCTCTCCCAATGCTTTGTCTCCTTCCAACTAATTCTATCCAAAATATTCTCCCCTCCACCATCCATTACCTCACAACCTTCATCCTACCACAAACAATGAAGACTTAGAAATAGAAAAACGGAACATTTAAGCCTCTACAAATTAATATTTGGTTTACTGTAGCAGCCAACATCAACAAACACTTTAAAACATGAATCAATTTAAACATGATTCGGTTTACTATAGCAGCCAGCCGCAACCAATATTCCAGAAACATAGCCATTTGGTCCCTTATTCATGGTTTGTACAATAATAGTCTTCTTTTACCAACATCTAGAAACATAGTCATTTGCCCCTTATACATCAACAAACATATATGTTAATGTTATGCTAACGTGAAAAGAACCTACAGATATAGATACAGTTAAAAATATCAGCTGCCCATCTTCTGCAGGCTTTTAGAGCCTGAAACTGGAGCCTATAAAAAAAGCACTATAATTTGCAATATATTAAAAACATATAGGTGTAACATTCTTATGCTAGATGAAATTCAACACAACAAAACAAAAAACAAGGTCACATAATTTGCTTGAAGAAAAGGAAAGGGGCAAAATAAAAAACATGTCGCACCTCTAAATATGATGCTCCTGTTTGCTTAATATGTTGGTTAATTAATTTTGAAGTAGCAACATCAACTGTAGAAACATCCACATATCTGCCATAAGGGGTATCTGTAGGCGTCAAAAAATGCTAATAGATATCCCAAACATAGAGAAGATCACTCAAAAAATCATAAGAATTGATCTCATACTGTCTTTGGAAAATCAAGACAGGTATGAACTGTCTCGCCAGCGAGACAGACTTTGCTGTCTCGCCAGCGAGACTAAATACCCCCCTAGGGTCATTTCTGACGAGGAGAGCATATTTTCGAGCAATCCAGAGCAGAGAGAGCAGATTTGAGTTTTCGTGTGACTCCTTGAAATTAAGCTTTGACTTGATTTTAAGAAGAACGACTATCTTACTTTGATAAGATATCGTTTCAAGTTCTCACTTCGATAAACGAAGTCAGAATCAGTAAACCCCCTTCACGATCTGTGATTCGGCGGTCCACGAACCAAAGCGTTCCCGGCACAGGCAAAGTCCCACAAAAAACAGGATTCGATAAACGACTTCTGTGTTATTTTCTCAAAAGTTGTAATTTTTGCTTTGTTGTGTAGAAGAGGTCTTATAAAAAGACTATTTCTTTGAATTTGTTGTAATCAAACAAAGATATAATGAATTCCTCAACAGAACCAACTTTTGCTGAAAACAATATGGTCCTATTAACAAAAGCATAAAAATTGTTAATTTGCCTCACCTTCCTTATTACAAAAAGAACAAGCTAAAATTCTCAATGTAAATCCACAAAATCTAATTGGTTAATAAATGAATAGAAAATTTTGTCTTTTCACTTGAGAAAGAGTGGGATTAGCAGTCCCAGAAAAAACCCTAAGCCTGGATTCGTGCTTTGCTGTCGAAATCTTGAAGCCTCGGCGACGTAACTAATTTGAAAATTACGTAACTAATTTGATTCTCACTTGAATAGGAATGATCATTCCTTATCAATTCACTTGGAATGCTCATTCCCAAAAAAAGTGGGAATGATCATTCCCTGGGAATGGTCATTCCAACTTCTAAAAAATAGGTATGCTTGGTATCGGGGAATGAGAAGTGAGAATGACCATTCTATTCCACCACATTCCGGCGTACCAAACAAGGCGTTAAAGGCAAAGATGCAAGGAATGGGATTTAGCTAGGATACCAACTAGAACTCGATGAATTAGCTTGCCATTCACTTTGAACTTTAGACTTAATTGTTGTTGTGGCATTGCAGCCGAGCTCAGGACCGGTTTAATTTAAATCTAATAATAAAATTGTGTTGACAACCATAAAAACTGGACTAGTATTAAACCAGTAGAATGGTGATCCAATGAATGACAAATTTCCATTCTTCCCCTCTTCTTTTTTTACCCCCAAGGAAATTGCGCTAATACGTTACTGGCTCAGACCCAATTCAAGGCAGAGTCTAGAGAGATGTTTTAGAGGAGGTTGCTCCCTATTACTAAACTGGGCCCAAAAAAGTAACCCAGCTCAAGCGAGATCCATCGTACCATAGGACAAGTTTTAAAATAGATTCCTTTAGGAATTTATTTTTAAAAATAGACCCCTTTGAAAATTTATTTATCATTTTCGACTTGGTTTTAACTATCTGATCAAAAATGGTAAATAAAGTTTGAAAACATCACGAGATTTAAAACCCTGTGAAGTTTAGCGTGGTTAATCACACATTAAACTTTATGAGATTTTAAATCCCGTGAATTTTTTGAACTTATGGGAATTCATTAGCGTGATTAATTAGACACTAAACTTTACAGGATTTTAAATCTCATAAAAATTTTAAACTTTATTTGTCATTTTCGACCCAGAAGATTAAAACTGGATCGAAAATAACAAATAAATTTCAAATAGGTACTTTTTTAAAAATAAATTTCTGAAGGGGTCTATTTTGGAAATTTTCCCTCCCCCATAATACTCCCCTATCTCACAATGTACCACTCTTCTACCCTCCTCTCTCCTCTATCGAAACCCTAGACCAAATTCACCCATCAACCATGCCGCCCAAATCAAAAACCTCAGCCAAGAGAGCCTCCCCTCTTAAGAAGAAAGCGACGCCTTCAGAGGCTCCCAGTCCCTTGCCGGCCGTCGCCGAAGAATCGGATGAGATCTCCACCGCCGCCATCCTGAAGGATGACGCGCCGCCGGAGGAGAACGAGATCGCGCCAATGGCCTCGTTAAACGAAGAGAAGTCCATGGAGGTTAAGGAGGAAGCAATGGAGGAAAAAACAGCGGAGGTGACGGCGGGAAGTGAGAAAACTCAGGAGGAAATTGTGGTGGAAAAGATTGTGGAGGAGACGACAGTAGAGAAGATAGAGAAGGAGGTCGTTGTAGAAGAAACTGTCACAGTGAAGGCTCCGATGGAAGGCGGCGCGAGCAATGTGGTTGTTCCAGAAGTTTCGGGCGAGGCCGAAGATGAGGAGAATGAGGCAGAAGATGAGGAGAATGAGGCAGAGGATAAAGAGGTTGAAGAATCAGAGGAAGAAGAGTCTGAGGAAGAGGAAGAGGAAGAGGAAAAGGAGGAAGCAGGTATGTCTTTTTGAATTTGTGATAGTATTGAATGTATGTCTTTTTGGTTCTCTCTTATTACTAGATGTTTCTTGGTAGCTTATATTTTGGTACGAATGACTGGAGTGAAGACATTTTTTCAAGGGACCCTTTGATTACCAATCCAACTTGTATGCCAAACGCGAAAACATAATTCGTTGTGATAAAAATTAATCACATGTTATTTCATGCTTATTGGCAAGATAAGGTTATTCTTTAACACCAAATTATCTCCTTTCCTAGTAACCATTATTGTTCTTAGCACTATAAACATAATGGCTCTGTGAAGAACGGTGATGGAGACGACCATGAGAGACTATATCTGGTGCCAAGAAAAATCTGTCAATCACTGTTGCCACCACAATTGTAGCTTCTAATCTTGAGGGTTCTGCAAAACTTTGATACGTCTACTACAATTCTTCTATGATTAATGACCACCAAGGTAGATCCTTCACCTCCAGTATAAAGAATAATTAAATAAAAGTTGTTGTTTTATGCAAACTTTCTTTCCCCTGTTATGTGGATGTGCAAGGTGCAACCAGTTGCAAGGGTGTGTTTGGTTCGATGTAGCTAGAGTCACATGTAGCACCAACTCCATGAAAAAGCATTTTGTGTCTGGTTGTTTGGAGTTCGATCCCCATCATGTAGTTGCTACCACGTAATGAGGTCTAAATGTTGTTGTTGCAACTACACTCAAAACAAAGAGTGCTGCAACAATATCTTGGGAATTGTGCCAAACAGTGCCACCTCAACCGTTTATGTAGTATAATAATATATTTTAATGGAATCTTTATTTAAAGTGCACTAAATGTTTAATAAGTAGCCATCAGCTTCGGTACTCCAAAAAATGTTTTTTGGAGTATCGATGGCACTTTTTGTAATTTGGATCCGCTTGTTTCTCTCTCAAATCCCTACATTATAGAATACCAGAGATAGTACCTCTTCCACACCTAGTTCGTAAATAACTTGAATTCTTTAAGGAATAAGGGTATATTAAGAACTAAAAATAAGGATACAGTCTTGAAGATCAGTTATAAATGTAAAAGTCATTTCACCTAATTATGTTTCTCTTTCCTTTCAAACTTCTGTATTTTAAGATTCTGTAGATTGTTACCTTTCCTCTAAAAGTACCGTAAACCTAAATTTTGGTAAATTTTTTTTTTCTTTCCTTTAAAAATTCAATATAATGAAAATTCCAAATCATACCTATATAGTTTTCTATGTTGAGATCTAAAAATGGTGTGAAACAAATAAGAAAAAACTTTTCAATAAATTGTGATAAATATTTGAATCCTATCTTAGATGATCAGAAATAAAATTTTATTTTATTTCTTATATAATTCAAATTAGATAAAATCACTCACATAAAAATGGCATAGCTAGAAAATAGGAAAGAGAGTGACGTGTTGGGAGGATAGAATAGGAAGTTTAAAAAAAATAAATGAACATATAGAAAGACAACAATATCCTTCCTAAAAATACTATTTCTTATCAATTCAAATTTTCTTAAAAATACTATTGCTTATCATTTTTCTATTTCTTATCAATTCAAATTTTCTTAAAAATACTATTCCGGAAAGTCGAAGCAGTTCTTTAAGCAGTATTAATGCTTTTATAATAATGTGAATATGTTTGAAAAACAATCGATCCAAACACATAGATTGTAGTTCTAATCAATGTTTAAAAGAGTGTTAAGTGCAAAGCGAAGCACTAGACCCTTGGATGAAGCGAGGCGTAAGCTTTAAAGCGTGAGGCGTAAGCTTCATGAGTTTAAGTATTTTAATTTTAAATTTGTAAAAATTATGAACATATAATAGATACTGGTGTAATAATTTACAAATATATACATTCATGTCCTGATTAATAAATAAGAATTAAATATGTGAAGTATAGAAACGAATCACAATAAACTAAGCTACACGCATAACATATATACTTAATACTTTATTTACACTCACATGGTCATATTGAAAATACATAGGGGCATTTTAATGTTAGTCAAAAATCCTTATATATCTTTCTATCCTGCTTAAAACGTGCGCTTCAAAAGAAAAGCGCTTTATGAAGTGCGGAGCACACGCTTCAATCATGCTTTAAGCGATCAGGCATAAGCTTCAATGGATAAATAACTTCACTCTTGAGTTTCAAAGCGTTTACCCTTAAAAAGTTTTGAACCGAGATTCGAAGCGAGTTTCAGAAAAACTTTTTCAAACATTGGTTCCTACTACATGTATTAGGAATAACATGTAGCTGGGAATGCAATATATTTCCAATTGTATTAAGCCAAACTCATCGTAATTTTCACTTTGTTTGACTCTATGTTCTTGTTTGTTTTTTGCCTAGCAGACACCGCATTTTTTTGATGCGAGGAACCATGGCCAGGACAATTAAGTATCAGGGAGGATTCCCAAGTTCCAATCTTAGCTGGGCCAATTATGGGGACCACATGGGAGCTCACGTGTAATATTTTCGGTCCAGAATTGTTTTTTAACTGGTCACCTGTGGGGGTTTCCGAGGAGAGACCCAAAGCCATGCCCAATGTTCCAAGCCTGATAGTACCAGCCAAGTAAACCCCAGAGCCTCCCCCCCCCCTCGCAGTACAGGCCTAGGTGAATATGATAGATGTTGCACCGAATAATGAAAATTGGGATTGAAAATTGGGGATAGGCATTCCATAGATACAGGTCGATCGTTGGCCTTGTGAGCCAAGGCGTCAAGCCCCAATCTGTGACACCTCATTGTGTGGAAAACACTGTTTTTTTAGTCCCATAGTGAGATAAATCATAGCATTGAGTCAGAATTTTTGTGCAAACTACCCACAGGATTATATCATTCTATTTAGTATCTTGTTCAATGTCAATACTCAATACAATTCTTGTTAAATATCATATAGACTTGCTTTTCTGTTCAAGTAATTTTTTTCAGTTCATTGAAAATGAGTTCTACTTACAATTGACTGCATCATGTTCAATTCTAGTTTTAGGTCTTAGATGCTTCTTGGATGGTAGTGAAGGATTGCTTACATGGTAAATCAATTTTGTACAGGGGAGAAACAAATAGCTCAAGAGGAAACTGGGGAAGGTGAGATTGAAAGCATTAGCGGAGATGATGAAGAAAATGATGAAGATGATCCAGCTATGTATATATCCCCTATGACAGAGAGAAAAAAGCAGAAGGAATTTGAGTTATTCATTGGTGGGTTGGACAAAGGGGCAGTTGACAGTGATTTGGTTAAAGTTTTTGGAGTGTTTGGGGAGATTCAGTCTGTAAGGATAGTTAAGCATCCATCAACTCAAAAAAGCAAGGGTTTTGCATTTCTTCGCTATGCTAATATTGAGCATACCAAAAAGGCTCTTGCTGAATTGAAGGATGGCATAGAGGTTTATATCAACCTCTTGAGGCATTTGAATTTTTTTTCCAAATGATTTTATTTAGGCATTTTGTTGACTTTTTTATATTTAAATTATCTTGTTCAGGTAAAAGGCAAAAAAGTCATGGTATCAGCTAGTCAGGATAATGATACCCTTTACTTGGGGAACATCTGCAAGACCTGGACGAGGGATCATGTATTGCTTCTTCTTGCTTGCTATGATTTCTCCATAATCTCATTGACTTTTTTCTTTTTGCTTCATATAAACGGAGATAGGCATAATAGTTGAAAAATTGAATATGTTGTAGCATCTATATAAGCATAATAAGTAGTGGGGAACGTATACACAGAGATACTTCATGGCTGTTTAGAATTTTGGATTTGCGACAACAAATTACAGAAAAGAAAGAAGAAAAGTATAAATGGAAGAAGCTTCACACATCCTTAGTTTTCCTGCCAAGATGACTATGCATCGGGGCTGCACCACTCAGCAAATTTTATTACTGAAATACATAAGAAAAACTGTATATTGAATTACTTCCATCTTTTTCTAAAGAAGAAAGGCCAAGGGCTTCCATAAATGTGCATAACTTGATCAAAAAGAAATCTAGTCCCTATATAATAGGAAAGAGTTCAAATGTACTAAAATAAAAGACTCTGGCTTACAATTAGCAGATTAGGCTACAAAGAGATTTCCAAGTCTACTAATCTTCCAACTTAATAATTTGAATTTAATAGGTAAGGCTAAAAAGTTATTTCATATGCAAAGTAAAAATTATGCAGTAGACTATCATTCTTTATGTGGTTACTGCTACAGAAACCGGTAGTACCCCTTTTCCTTCACTTGTTTCTACTTCCTAGTGATGCTTTCAAAAGAATCAACTTTTGTAAGTCATCGTGCTAGAGAGAGTTTCTTAATCTAGTATGAGGTTTTCTTAGGTACTTGAGACATTAAAAGGCTATGGAATTGAACAAATTGAGGACGTGCTCATACCAGATGATCCAAAGAGTGAAGGGAAGATCAAGGGTTTTGCTTTTTTGGAGTTCAAATCCCATTCAGATGCGATGACAGCATTTCAGCGCTTAAGAAAGCCTGATGCAGTGTTTGGCCGTGATATAAGTGCCAAAGTTGGTTTTGCTCAAGCTCCCCTTCATCCCTGTGAGGAAGACTTAATGAAGGTAATTTATTTACTTTCTCATCTTTAAGTCCGTTTAGTTTCAAACCTTGCAGGTGTTACCTTTTATTTAGTTATTTTATGTCGCCAATTTCAAACCTTTTGAATTTTATGTCGTCAATTTCAAACGTTTTGAATTTTTTTCTGTTGGTGTTTGTTTGCATTTGAACTGCAATGGTCATGTTGTTAGTTTGAAGCTGCTGTTTAAATAAATTCCTTATCAGTAAATGTTGATACATCTCAAGTAGGTAGGTAGTATTGGAAATTACTATGATACCATATCCATCTTACGGTTGAGTTAAATTTTGTTATCTGCTAGGCTAGTATGTTAGACGATTAACAAAATTCCTGCTAAAGCTGTAGAAGTATGTTGAAAAAGCTTATTTGATCCCCCCCCCCCTCATAATCTAGCAAATTAATGTGTTCACATACAGTTTAAATACTATAAATTCATATTGAGTTTTTACTTGACTTTTGAGGAACTTTGAAACTTTGTTTTGCAGGTGAAAACTGTATATGTGGAGGGTTTCCCTAAATCTTGGGATGAAGCAAAACTTGAAGAACTCTGCAATCAATATGGTGAAATAGAGAAAGTACAGCTCTTCCGTAAAAGGAAAGATTTCGGGTTTGTTGGATTTTTCTCTCGAGATAGTGCTGTAGCCTGTGTGGAAGGAATAAACAATACTCAGTTCGAGGAAGGCATTAATGTAAGACATGCCAAATTATAAATGATATGCTCAGCCAAAAAGAGCAGCATAAGTTATTTATTGCTTTAAATTTCAGGTAAAAGCAAACCTTGCAAAGCCTGTGTATAAGGGTCGGCTTGCTAAGCAGAGTCGAGGTGGCTTCAAGGTTCAGAAGGATGCTGATTCTACTGAGGAACCTGACAAGTCCAAGAAGAACAAGGGAAAGTCAAAGGCGGTCCATGACAAGAAAAAGCCTAAACCTAACTTCAAAAGTTCGAATAAGAGTACACCTTCGAAGTCTCAAGATAAGAACTTGAAGAAAGGGTTTTGCTTTTTTGGAGTTCAAATCCCATTCAGATGCGATGACAGCATTTCAGCGCTTAAGAAAGCCTGATGCAGTGTTTGGCCGTGATATAAGTGCCAAAGTTGGTTTTGCTCAAGCTCCCCTTCATCCCTGTGAGGAAGACTTAATGAAGGTAATTTATTTACTTTCTCATCTTTAAGTCCGTTTAGTTTCAAACCTTGCAGGTGTTACCTTTTATTTAGTTATTTTATGTCGCCAATTTCAAACCTTTTGAATTTTATGTCGTCAATTTCAAACGTTTTGAATTTTTTTCTGTTGGTGTTTGTTTGCATTTGAACTGCAATGGTCATGTTGTTAGTTTGAAGCTGCTGTTTAAATAAATTCCTTATCAGTAAATGTTGATACATCTCAAGTAGGTAGGTAGTATTGGAAATTACTATGATACCATATCCATCTTACGGTTGAGTTAAATTTTGTTATCTGCTAGGCTAGTATGTTAGACGATTAACAAAATTCCTGCTAAAGCTGTAGAAGTATGTTGAAAAAGCTTATTTGATCCCCCCCCCCCTCATAATCTAGCAAATTAATGTGTTCACATACAGTTTAAATACTATAAATTCATATTGAGTTTTTACTTGACTTTTGAGGAACTTTGAAACTTTGTTTTGCAGGTGAAAACTGTATATGTGGAGGGTTTCCCTAAATCTTGGGATGAAGCAAAACTTGAAGAACTCTGCAATCAATATGGTGAAATAGAGAAAGTACAGCTCTTCCGTAAAAGGAAAGATTTCGGGTTTGTTGGATTTTTCTCTCGAGATAGTGCTGTAGCCTGTGTGGAAGGAATAAACAATACTCAGTTCGAGGAAGGCATTAATGTAAGACATGCCAAATTATAAATGATATGCTCAGCCAAAAAGAGCAGCATAAGTTATTTATTGCTTTAAATTTCAGGTAAAAGCAAACCTTGCAAAGCCTGTGTATAAGGGTCGGCTTGCTAAGCAGAGTCGAGGTGGCTTCAAGGTTCAGAAGGATGCTGATTCTACTGAGGAACCTGACAAGTCCAAGAAGAACAAGGGAAAGTCAAAGGCGGTCCATGACAAGAAAAAGCCTAAACCTAACTTCAAAAGTTCGAATAAGAGTACACCTTCGAAGTCTCAAGATAAGAACTTGAAGAAGAAAAACGATTCGCGAAGAGTACAATCTGCTAAGGGCCAAAAACGTGGCAGGAAAGACGCAGATTCTTCCATCAATCAACAGCCACCCAAAAGAGCACGTAGGAACCAGAATCATGGTATACTAAAAGCCTAAGTTTCACATTCTATCTTGCATGTGCTGTCCTGGTGCTGGAAGTTTATCCTTGTTTAAATGTACAGGAAGAAGGCATGATAGATCTTCCACTGGTCACAGTAACTATAGGAGCTCTTACCCTACAAACCCATACACGCTACATCAGACTGCATATGCACCACCTGCAACTAGTTACACAACACATATTTATCCTGGGGCTTCTGTGACTCAACCTCGCCATACTCATCTGGTAGAAATGGCCTCATCTCATTATTTCCATTTCCCTCTCTTCTGACTTGAAAAAACACACTGTTCTCTTTAGTATTTTAATGCTGATGCCTCTTACATACCATGCATTTGATGTTTCCAGGAACCTCATGCTGGATACCTCCCTGCTGCTAACCAAGTCCGCCATCCTTATGAATATGAAGATAGAAGGTTTGTCCTCTGCGATTTCTTTATTCCTTTAACCTTTTTTCTGTTGTCATTTCCTAATTCACGATCCCTAAATTATGTAGAGCTGGGGCTTATAGTTCCCAACCAAGGAGCAGCTCTGGATATGTAGCTTACAGTTCCCAACCAAGGAGTAACTCTGGATATGTAGGAGGTAAAATACTTTCGGAATGTAATTCTCTGTTTGCCAAGGGGTCTTTTATGCACTTTACCCCCAAAAACTTCTTTCCAAATGAATATTTGTATGCTACAAATTGTGACACTGTAATCTCCATGCATTTTATTTGTCCAAATGATTATTGCCTGATAAGTTTTGTTTGTTTTGTTTGTTACCATTTCACCTGGGTTACTTTTCTTTCATTTTCTTTTTCTCCGAATCCAATTCATCATTTCCAGACATTGAGTCATTGACAATGATACTATGCCTGATCTAGAGTAGAGAAGCTTGATACCACTGTACTGCTTTTCGCCTTTTCCCCACCTTGTTTTGGGACATGAAGGATCTCTTTAGCTTTGATAGATTATAACTACTTCACATGGTCCACTTACAGGTTTGACGTAACTGTATTGATTAATTGACCCTAAAATGTGTTTTCTGGTTTTCTTTATCATGTATTGACATGTCAATATTTATACTCAACTTTTGATGTGTAAAGCACATGTGTTGGGAAAATAACTAATGTTTTTGTCAAGAAGGATTCACGTGGAAACTTGTATATGTGGGGTCAATTACTAAATATGCAAGTAGCGTTTCATTAGGATTCTAGCTCAAGTTTTGGAATATATGAGATTGGGCACGAAGGATATACATGAAAAACTACACACATGGGAATTTATTACATTCAAGTATTTTAATATATACTTTCTCCATTGTTGGACTCACAGCATTACATATATGCTGTTAAGGTTAGTAATCGTACTTTCTAATTAAACATCTTTTTTTCATTCTGATTTTGTCGTGGACACTTATCGATTGCCTCCACTTTAAAGGCGGCTACCATCTTTCATTTTTGAACTTAGCTTTTAGGTATTACATATCCATATCATTGTGAGCTATTAGAGCATGTTGGCATTTGTGCTTCCCAGTGGCAATAATACAATTATTCGTTCCCACATTGTTGTGTTTTATTCTTTATCTCCAACATGATCTCTGAATTCAGAGGCAGTGAGTCATTTAATCTTCTTAAGAAACAACTTATGTATCTAACCTTAAATATGGCTGTCTAGTTGCTGTTTCGTGGAGATTTTAATGTGAGTGTTATGTCGAAATATATTGAAGAGAACTTTACTTGCATTTTTCGGTGTCTCATAAGTTTAATATTAAGGAATTAACTATTTCAGCAATAAGTCACAATGTGACAGAATTTGACTATTTTAAACAGTTGATATTAATAAATTTGCTGCGTACTTTCTCCTCTCAGATGTTGTTTTCTTCTTGTTAACAACTCCAAGATTCTCTATGGATAGACATACACACATGCACACACATACAAACACATTTAGATACTTTATTTGCTCTGGTAATTGTTCATATAGTGCATAAAAGAGACCATGCTGAAAATCAGATAAATCCCTTGTCATTGTGCCCCGAGAGTACTTCCATTCTGGTTAAAACAAGATATTTAACATTTGGTTACGTTTGCCTATTTTCATCCTGTTTTTTTTTCTGTGTTGCAGCATCCACTGTGCCCAATCCTTATCCTGGATACTCAAGCTATGCAGGATATGAGGTTCCATCTCATCTCTCCTTAATATGCATCTTACATCTTTCTTTATTTTGATTTCTGAAACAAAGACAATTCATGTATTTGAGCCTAGGTTTTATTTATGTGAATTTCCTAGTTTTATATTTTTGCTAAATTTCTCCAAAGTTGCATAAGGTTGTCTTGGATTGCATCAATCTATTTACGTATCGGAGTCCCTCTTGTAGATTCCAGTGTTTGACTTAAGCATAACCTAACATTACTGTTAAGTATTGTGATCCTATAGACATTATACTACGACATGGTGTGGTCTTATGTCTAGAGAAACCTTACTCTTCCTCCTCTCTACTACCTTCACCATCGATCAGGGTTGCTACTGTGGTGTTGCCATTACTTCTAACTACAGTGTTGCCCATCATCATGAATTATCATCGCAACCATGGGTGTTGCAACTATCATCTTTGTCTCTTTCTGCTTCACTGTTATTTCCTTAGCCATCATCTCCACCATAACCACCAACAATGATGTCTAACCACGCTGCCACCTGTGTAGACCACCCCTGCCTTTTTTCATTGCATCACGAAACAATATCTAGGGTTCATTTGGGGAAAATGTGCCCCAGCTTTTCGAGGACTCTCATACCAGACATGAGGATATGGTATTCCAGAAATGTTAATATTATACTAAACACTGTACAGAATATTTTTATGAATATGATGCCAAGGACTGTAATTTGCAAGGGATCACATTTCTTGAGTGATGCCAAATGTTTCTTTCATGTACAAGATTCCACATAAAGGAAACATTGCCAGAAGAAAAGAGCATACCAACAAACTAGCAACCATCACTCTATTGGTTCTCTCAAAATTGTGTCATTGTGCATGGGAGTTGCATTTTAACAGCCGTATCCTTTTTTATAATTGAGATGCAGAACCCATTCTGTTCTTTCCTTTAGCCAACTTGTTTGAGACCAAATATACGTATGCAAGAGAATTCATATATTTTCATCAACTACAAAACATTTTAATTATACCTCCTGACAAGTGATTATTATTTCATGGCAGACTGGTTATGTATATCCAAGCAGTGGAGCTTATGCATATCAAAGACCACCATACTACTGAGAGGGTGGTTAGATGACCAAACTACTCATTCCCTCCCCATTCCCTTGATTTCGTCTGAAGGTGTTGCTCACTAAAGCTGGGAGATCTAAATTGGCAGGCGGTAATATTTCTTTGTCACTGCAAAGCATAATTCTGAACCCTGCCACTATGCTAGATGGGGCTAGCTATATTGGCATCGAAACATTATGGTTCAAATAGACTTAATCTGTGAAAGATAAGATGCATCTCTTCAATGGCGATGTAAACACATTCGAAAAGGAATTTTTGGTGTACATCTTGTTTTTAGTTAATTAGGCTGGATCCACTTTGAGGTCTGCCAATAACAGAGATCCTGCTGAGAAAGGCCGGATGCAAGTCTATCCGTATCATTTTTCTTCTTGTTTCAGCCTGCACTTCTTGTTTCAGCCTGCAGCTTCATGTTTTAGAATGCGATCACTATATCTTATTATCAGGTGAACAATGGGAAGTAGGAATAGTTTGGTTTGGCAGATTAATAAATAGTGTGCACGTGTGTGACATGTGAATGACGCACTCTCTTCAATGTGTGATGTAAGGGTCAGATCTTGCCACCTCACTACCAAGTTCAATGGAGAAACTTGGTATTAAAGTTCTCTATATTTCTCATATATTAGGTGGAATGCACGTGCATTGCACGTGGTCAGATAATTTAGTTATTTACTTTAAGTTTATTTATTTACTACAACATGGTTGCAAAAAACTTTAAAATTATCATAATATATTAAATTATTAACTTTTGTTAGATATTTTCATGTGTGGCTTTAACATTTTGTCTTTCAGAGAAATAGTTATGCTTAAAACCTTAAAATATCAATAATTTAAGATTGATTAGTAATTTGAATGTATAATTTTTAAGTATTAATGATGTAAGGGACCAATACTTAAAAAACTATTGTCATTAATAAAATAAATAAATTCTTGAATTCATTAAAGAAAAATAGTTGGTTTTATTTAGTCATTAAGGATTTTGTTTAGTTAGAAAAAAATTACTTCCACTTGTTGTTTACTTCTGTTGTTGTTTATTCGGCGATTAAGCATTATAGATATTCAAGAAATGTTTTCTAGAATTTTCTAATAAAATATGTAAATTCAATCAAGAAAGAAAATATAAATTATGTGATCAATTCTAAAATATGGCGTTGTACTCTTTTTACATCTTCCTAATTACTAATTGATTTGTCAAGATGATTACACTCTAGTTTTAGAAAATTATAAAATATAGTCTGAGAATGATTTATACATATTATGCATTCATATTGATTATATTTTAACAAAATAATTTATATCTATCCAATACCAAACAACATACAAAGTTTTAGCGCAAAGAGTTAGAGGAATACAATATCTACAACAATATTTATATCCAAACTATGAGCTTCATAAACTTATAAGAAGGCGAGTAATATAAAATGACAACTTAATTTATTTTGCTAAATAATTTATTACAAATCATGAAGACAAGGGGAATCAGAAGGATCAGATACCCATCCAAAATAAATATTAAATTTCTCTTAGAGATTCTTATAGCAAAAGATTTTCAGAGTTGATGTGTAGGATAAATTTAAGGACAAATAACCCAAACAAGTTCATTGAGTGATAGACTTGTTATAAACTCCAATCGTATAAAATTGATGTTACATGTGTCTTAAGTTGTGCTTTTGTTTAAGGTTTAATTTTAGAAAACTCCCCCTCAACTATGGGAGGCATGTCAACCCACTCCCCCTACCCCCACTATTTAAAATTGAGTAAATCCCCGTCAAGTTTTGGGTATTTTGTAGACAATCTATCTCTGTCACGCCTCGTTTCTCAAAATACCCGGGAATCGGAATGTGAACAAGCTCACGACGTATTAGATTAAGGAGAATAAATAAAAATAAACATTTCTCTCAACCTAATACGCTAAGCGTCAAGAAATAAATGCAAAGGCACAAGTCTCCGATCACAGTAGCGAGAATATAATGAACAACACAGAATAAAATAATACATATCATAAATAAAATATCCTCCCAGACATAATATTCGGGTCAACATGCTCTTATACAAACTATCTGAATGAAATACTGGAGAATATAAAATACAATGATCAAGCGGAAAAGGAAATGCTACAAAAGTAAGCTAAGATCATCGAACAACTAGAGGGAATAAATAAACTTCGGCTTCTTTTGCTCGCTCTGCAAGACACTCCTACTGAGAATATCCTGGCACTGGCACATCTCCAAGCTGGACCTGTCCTTCCTCTAAGTCTGACGTACACCAGAGAAAACAAGTGTACGTCAGCGTGCATGACACACGACAAGACCTTACAAAAGAAAAGAACAAACGAAAACCCAATGCGAAAAATGATACAACAACAGAAATGACAAAGAAATGTGCAACTGGAAACCCAACAAAATCAACGAAGTAACAAGTCGATCATGCAGCAAGCGATCAAAATAATCATCCAAGTAATGGTCATACAACTAGATGAAATTAATACTTAAAAATCTACAACAAGAGACGTAGTACGCCGAGCAAAATAATTCAAACAAGGAAACCCTTATGTATATACCATACGTCTTAAATTATAGATAACTAAATATTCATCCCTATCTATGTATGAAAAAAAAATACAATTGGTCTACATCTCACAAGAAATCATACCTAGCCAAGAAACGAGGTCATGTAACTAGCCATCCTATAACAGGTCACTAGTTCACATCTCACACAGAGTCAACGCTCATATTATCAGATAATCGACTGTTCACAAATCCCCTACGTGCATCTAATACCGCTACACAAACTCGATCATGGGACTACACACAATCCGTTTTCATCCTGGTCCGGACTCAAGCTAAACTCGGGTGAATATCAAATTCACGGACCAAAGTAGCGATACCGATCTACTTTGACCTAACAAACTAACCCTAGTGACGACACCGATCCACTGGTGCAAGCCTGGAAGATATATCAACAGCCTTATTTGATTACATGAACATGGACTTTCCCACCCCAACATCTCTTGTATTTCTAAGTCAACAACGCACAAGCCTCTAGGTCTTATTCATGTCACACAGATCACTGTAGTCATAAACTTCTAACGATTCTTAATCACAACAAGAAACAACCAAGGGAACTAATATTATGTAAATAAAACATGGTATGTCACGTAATCAGAATAAGAAACATGAAATCGGCGGATGATTTGTACATAAAATTTTGCGGTCAACAACCATCAATCACACGATCATAAACTACATTAATTCAAAATAAATAATTCTTTTACAAAATAAATTTCTTTCAAATTATCTCTCACCATAATTATTCTAAAAATAATCTCTTCAAATAATAAATTCATAAATTCAAAATAATCTTTTTACAAGATAAATTCTCATAAATTCAAAAGAGTCTATTTTCCCAAAATAAATTCTTTTAAAAATATTTATCATTCTAAAATGATTTCCTTCCACAAAATAAATTCTTAAAAATATTATAATTATTCAAAAAATAATATTTATCACATAATTACGATTCATTCAATATTATTCATCAAACCCACGCAGATAATTATTAACAGATCTAAAATTCTAATAAAACAATTAAAAAAGTAAATTCGCACGTATGACAAATATAATAATTAAAACGGAACTAAACGAGAATCGGGATCTTGCCTCGGGAATATTGTCGAGGATATCGTAGAGGGTAGTGGAGGTCGTCAGGTGGCTGTACGGGTCGCAACGGGTTACGTGGCTCGTCGGAAGGTCAATCGTGTGATAGAATACAAAAAGTGAGGTATTAGTAGCGATTAGTAATATTCGAAGCGATATAACGAGAGGTAGAAAATGAGCCCAAGTGAGAGGGATATATCGTGTGATAGTAAATATAAAGGGCCACACACCGGAGAAGATGGTGGTGAAACGGAGACCGGATGTGGCCAGAAAACGCGTGCGAAGTCAGCACAACGCTGTTGTTTTCTGCTCACTACTACCGTCGAGCGATGTTTCAAATATTACCGAGAGAGAGAGAGAATGAGTTATAACATGATACAAATTGGTTGTGATAGGAAATATGTAGGGTTACTCACCAGAGAAGAAATCGGCGGAAAAGAAGATCGGAGGTGATCGGAAAGTGCGTGCAAAGTAGGCCCAAAACTACAGTTTTCTGCTCACTGTTCGGGCTCGTTCCTCGCTGTTTGGAGCTTCTCCTTGCTGTCCGGGTTTGCCGAAGGTGGGGAGGAGGCTGCTGGGATCGTCGGGGTGTCTCAGTGGGCTCCGACGGGGCTGTGCGGAGATTTGGCGGGGTTGCTCGGTCAAGGAGGGGCGGTGTGGTGGTGGAAGGAGAACGAGAGGGAGTCGGCGGTGGGCTGATGGTGTTCGGGTTAAGGCGGAGGTGGAGGAGGTTGACGACTGCAGGTGGTGGTGCGGTAACGAACGGG